CCTGTAGTCCCAGCTACTCGGGAGGCTGAGGCAGAAGGATCGCTTGAGCCCAGGAGTTTGAGGTTGCTGTGAGCTAGGCTGATGCCACAGCACTCTAGTCTGGGCAACAGAGTGAGACTCTGTCTCAAAAAAAAAAAAAAATGCAAACATTAAATAGCAAAGAAAAAACACCATGAGAAGTTGAGAAGAACAGAAAATAGTTTATGTTTTAGTGCCTCTACTGGCACTTTTTTTCCTGCTTTTTGAACAAGAGGCCCATTTTCATTTTGTACTGGGTCCACAAATTATGCAGCTGGCCTGCTTTACTCTATCCTGCAGCAGGCTCTCGATTAATTTTCTCAAAATACAGCTTTAATTAGGCCACTCCTCAGCTCAAAGGTCTTCAATAGCTCCCCGTTACCCGGCAGGATGGAGTCCTGATTCTTCAGTCTAACCTACAGGGTCCTCCACAATCTACACCCAGCCTATGTCCCCAACCTCCTTTCTCACTAGTACCCAACTAGTCCTCTGCTGGAACCCAGCCAGCCACTCCCAGGAAAGACTGTGCTTACTCCTGACTTCACACCTTTGTCCATTTCATTCCTTCCTCCTAGAAGACTGCTTACCCTCCAGAAACTAGCCCCAACTCTTATTCATTCATTCAATGCAAATCTAATGCGCATTTGCTCAGAGCCAGGAAGTATTGCTATTCTGGTTCCTGTGTTCCTGGGGCTCCCACTCCAGTGGACAATGAAAATAAACAAACAAATATAATAATGTCAATATTATGCAGAAAAAATAAAACAAGCTGATGTACCAGAGTGCCTGGATGGTAGGGATGGCCTTACCAAGGAGGAGTCTTTTAATGTGGACCTAAATGGCCAAAGGAGCTATGGGGAGAGGTGGTGGAGGAGCTTTCCAGGAAGAGGGAGGTGTAAGTGCCTAGGCTGGACTTTCATGAGGGAAGGCAAGATGGATGCAGCAAGAGCTCCAAGAGGTAGGTGGGCTTCAACCCATACATGTCCTTGCAGGCCAAAGGGAGTGATTTGGATTTTTTTTTTCTTACATCCCATCTAGTAGACATGGTTTAGATTTTAATCCAACCATCCTGGTGGCAATTCTAGAGTTTTAATCAGGGGAGTGACAAGACACACAATTTAGCAAACATAGCCTGGGGGTGGCCTCCAGATTCCTGGCTTAATCTCTGCCCTGTACCCTAGGCTTACTTAGAGAGGAAAGAATTAATGTCTTCTGTGCACTGCAGCGGGTTATGGAGTAAGGGTGAGATATCTGTTGCCCCTGCCTTGCTGTCTTCTCCTACAGGCTAGAAGGAGGGAAGGGGACAGGAAGGAGGGGGGCCTTTGCACTAAATGCCACGTTGGTGTTCAGAGGGAGACAAGCGGAGAAAGGGGAGATCAGAGAAGCCTGTGGTGTGCTGGGTGCAAAGAACCATTACAAACCTCCAGCTTCTTCCTAGAACCCAGCCCTCCTGCCAGCATCTCCAGAAAGGAGGGAAGGAATGAGAGCCCCCACACCATATCCGGAGCTTGCCCTGAGATCTGCCCATTGATCCCCTCCCTCCAGTCCACGCAATTCCAGGGACTTCACTGTCTGGGTTCCCAAAAAGATGGGTCTTTGCAGAGAAAAGAACAAGGAAAGAAGAGCTCTTTGAAACACAGATATGGGGGGAGGGAAGAATGGGGAGTTGTTTAATGGGGACAGAGTCTTAGATGTGCAGGGATGAAAAGAGTTCTGGAGAAAAATGGTGGTGATGGTTGCACAACAATGTAAATGGACTTAATGCCACTGAACTGTACATTTGGAAATGGTTAAGATGGTAAATTTTACATTGTGTATATTTTACCACAATTGAAAAAAAGAATGAAAAAAAGGAAAGAAAGATCCTTCACTGACCAGACTGAGCCCCAGTTCCTCAGCAGGACACACAAGGCCTTTCACCACGTGGCCCGAGGAGCCTCCCAGTCTGCCCTCATTCCAGCTCAGCCTGCCCGTGGTTCAGTCACATCACATGCCTTCCTCATCTTTTATACCCAGCAGGCTCAGACTTCTATGTCGAGAACCATGTGTGAGGTTAATAATAACAACATATCTCATATAGTGAGCACTTTCTAGATGCCAAGCCCTGTGCTAGACATTTTACCTACTTGATTTTGTCACATCTTCCCAGCAACCCTATGGATGTGGTAACTTCCCCATTTTGTAGACAGGGAAACTGAGAGTTAAAGAGGTTTAGTCATTTGTTCAACTTCACACATCTAATAACTCACCTCTTCCATGGTCCTTGGTAGAACTAGCAGCCAGGTTCCCTGGCCTCTCATTGGTGTCTCTATTAAAGCATTTCATATGTCTATCTCTCTCTCAAAACCCTGGTTCTCCAGGGCCAGTGGCAAGTCTTGTTCATCTTTACAGTCCCTGTGGATGACCTAACACAGTGTTCGGCATACCATCAGCAGCCAATAAATGTTAGTTGAAAGGAAGGGCTGTGGGGGGCCAGGCAGGAAGGGAGGAAGGGAGGGAGAGAGAAAGAGGCAAGGGATAGGGTACAGTGAGTGGGTAGACTGGGCCTGGAGGCTTCAGGGTGTGCTGCCAAGCTCTGGAAAGTTTTTCAGGGCTGTGGGGAAGGCAGAGGACGTTGGGCTGGCATCGTAGGTGCCCTTGGTGGGGGCCTGGCAAAGTCTGCGTCAAAGCAAAGTCAGTCTTAATGAAAGAGTGTAGACAGCTCTGGATGGTAATCAGGAATCTTGGAATCTAGGGCAAGCTGGGGAAAGAGAGGTTGGGGGCACAGTGTCCTGGAGAGGGTGGGGTGGAGGGAGGAGAGAAAAGCCAGCCCCTGGGAGATTCCAGGGACAAATGGTCAGGAAGTTGCCGCTCAGAACAAGCCCCTTGGTGGGTGCCCAGGTGTATCCAGGCTCTTTAACCTCTCACCCCCTGGCTCAGAGTCCAGGCCTCTGCAGGATGACTTCTTTTCATTATTCAAGTCTCTGCTCAAGTGACATCCTGACCACCCAGCTAATGTTGCCTCCCCACCCCCCCAATTATATTACAAGATTTTATTCCCTTTATAGCTCTAACCACTATCTGAAATGAGCCTGCTCATTTACTTGTTTATGGGCTGCCTGCTCGCCCTCCACTCTACTGCGTGCTCCATGAGACCAGGGATCATGTCTGTCCTTTTTACCAATGCATCCTAGGTGTCTAGATCAGTGCCTGGTACATAGTAGGTGCTCAGGCGGCCTAGGTAACCCTGAACATCACCCAAGGGCCAGGGTTGAGTTTGGGCCCCTCTCTCCATGCTCAGGACTCTCTTACAAACACTGTTGGCTAGGTGGAGGCAAGTGTAGACCCTGGGAAGGTTTACAGGGTCAAGACTGGGAGGGGGGCCGGGCGCAGTGGCTCACGCCTGTAATCCTAGCACTCTGGGAGGCCGAGGCGGGTGGATTGCTCAAGGTCAGGAGTTTGAGACCAGCCTGAGCAAGAGCGAGACCCTGTCTCTACTAAAAAATAGAAAGAAATTATTTGGACAACTAAAAATCTATATAGAAAAAATTAGCTGGGCATGGTGGCGCATGTCTGTAGTCCCAGCTACTCGGGAGGCTGAGGCAGTAGGATTGCTTGAGCCCAGGAGTTTGAGGTTGCTGTGAGCTAGGCTGACGCCACGGCACTCTACTCCAGGCAACAGAGTGAGACTCTGTCTCAAAAAAAAAAAAAAAAAAGACTGGGAGGGGCACAAGGCAGGGCTTGGGATTTGTGCCTTTACCTCAGAAACTCTATTGCAGCCTCCTTACCCTAGGGTCATTTAGGTCCTAGCCAATCCCTGCAGGAGGGGAGAACAGGTCCAATGAGTGACTCACCCCATTGCCTGGGTTACTGGCAGGAAGAGCCTTGTAAGAAACAAGAGGCTGGGAAACTGGTGGGAGCCTAGAGATCCCATGGGGGCCAGAGATAGGGGATGCATTAACAGCTCATGAGCAGGATGAGGGCTAAGAAGAAGGGAGAGAGGGGCTGGAGCCCCAGGGCTCCTTAGTGGGCAGGGAACTTTGGGCTGGGCCCCAAGGGTTTCTAAGAGGGCTGAAGACTAGGAGCTGGAGTCTAGGGGCTGGGAGCTTGGGTATGAGGCATCCCCAGGGAACAGGAAGCTGAGACAGGAAGGTGTCCCTGGGAGGGGATAGGGCACCAGGATTCTCCAGAGGTCTAGTGGCTGAGGGCTGGGTCACCATATTCTTTAAGGGAAGAGATATTCCTAAAGCTGTCTGTTTTTCCCAGCTGGGACCAGCATAAGCCAGTTCTTGTTTAATGGAGTAGAGACAAATTCATCTGGGAACACAGAGAGTGGACCAAGACTAGCAAAGAGAGAGGCAGCTTTCTCCCTTTGCTCACCTCCCGGTTTCTTCCTCCCTGCTGCCACCCCTTTTCACAGACTTCCTGCACCCCTCTCCCTACGACCCTCTCGCGCCCCCTGCTGCTCCTTCCCTGGGCAGCAATGGCCAGTCCAAGGACTACAATGACTGAGATAACAAAATTCCATCTCTCCCCTTGCTCCTGATCTCTAGGGACCAGCCACAGAGGCAGGAAGCTGGAGTTCCTAAGGGAGTAGATACTGTGGAAGGAAGTGGGCTCCTGGCTTCCAGAAAGTGGCCCAGATCTGGTACGTATGTGTCTGTGGGTGCTGTTGCTGGGGCCTCAGCCTAAGAAGTGACCGCTTACGCAGGGAAGCCCTCCTTGGGGCCCAGACTAGGTGAAGGCCTCCCAATCTGCGTGCTATCACAACTCTCGGAGTCTCCTGTGTGGTGCTTACAGAGTTTCCAATTATCCACTTAGTAGTTAGCCTTTGATGGGTGCCTGCCTCCCGACAGGACTGTGAGCATCGAGAGGGTAGGAACCAGGTTGGTTTTGCTCATCAGTACAACCCAATGCTTGACACAGTGCCTGGTACATTTCCGGTACACAGTAAATATTTGTTGAGTAAGTGAATGAGTGACTTTCAAAGGAGTTCTTAGGTAGGGCTTTAATGGGAGGTGTCAGTGCCATTGCCTGGGCTCCGAGGACAGCTGTGAGTCCAGATGTCCTGGCTTCTGTTTAGGGCCTGGTCCATGTCCAGCCTCTGGCCTTGTGCCCAAAGGCTGTTCAAGCAAAAGGAGGCAGAAGAGTCCTCTCCTAGAGGGAGGTGACATAGAGGTGGCATTAGAGAACCTCATGGGTGCTTGGATCCAGAAGCTCCTCCCCACTTTTCCACTTCTCCAACCTGAATTTTCTTTTTTTTAATTTTATTTAATTAATTATTTCTTTTTTAACAAAGGGGGAGAATCCAACCTGAGTTTTCAAAAGTACTGCCTCCCACTGCCCCCATATCCTGTGTCTTCTTGTGGCCTTTTCTTCCCTCCCAGAGGCTTCTTTCCTCTTAAAATGTGCCCCTCCCTTTAGCTGTTTACAACAGTGTGCGGGCTGGAACACCAGTCTCTCCCACCTGGTAAAGCCCCCAGGAAGAGTCGCCCTTGAGACTGGGCCCAGAGGTTGAGGATGGGGCCAAGGCCCAAGGAAGGCAGAGCAAGGACTTCTGTCTTCAGCCCCTGGCTCAAGACCACCCTGGACACACCCAGCGTCAGCTGAAGAGGAAGTCCCAAGACCAGGGGCAGATCCAGCCCTGGTCCGGACCCAGGAGACAGCACCACCTTCTGCAGAGCGTGTGGGAGGAAAGAATCAGCAGAACCCATTCCCTGTGGCCCATCCCTCGCTGCCTTAATCGTGCCTCTCAGCTACACCTCCACCTACTGGCCATCCTCACCACTTAAATCCTGCCCCAGTTTTCCAGGCTTAACCTCTGTGAAGCCACACCCACCCCAAATAAATATGCAATCTAAGTAAAAACTGTTTGCTTGCTGTGGGAGGCTTCAAGATATGTCCCTCGCCACACACCCCCACCTGAGCACCACCCTTAATATTATACTATTAAAACTTTGCAGCCCCGTTTTCCCTTGTTGCTGCCAAGCTCCCCTGAACACAGGCAGTGCCCCATCCTTCCCCTTTACTTGATCTTGGAGGTGGAGGCCGAGCCAAGAAGGGTTCTCCGGTGTCCCAAGGGCAAGGAGGTGGCCTGAGCCTGCCACTAGCTCGAGTCCCAGGTCCAGAGAGAAGGCCCAGGGCTCCCTATGAGGCTGGGGAATGTCTAGGGGAAGAAATGATCCTCCTGAGGCCCCAAAGCTGGGCTTTCGGGGAAGGGAGGGGCCAGTGGTGAAGGGAGACCGAGGAACGCAGTGCTGGCCATGGGGAAAAGCAGACTCCAAGGAAGTCTACCTTGGAGACTGAATTCTGCATGAGTTCCTGCAGGGAAGAATATCCCGGGTTGTGACTCCACATCACAGCTTCTGAGGCTAGTGGGGGCAGAGGCTGAGGTCTGGATCTGTTTGCCCAGCCAGGTGCCCTGACGCACACAGCCATCCAGGGCGGGGACCAGCTGGAGGAAGTGGGGGTAGGAAAGATGGAGGTATGTGGACATTAGGGCATTTGTGCCCCAGTCCCCGCCACCTCCCCACCCTCAGTTTATTCCCCTCTGAGACACTAGCATTTGGCCCCCCGGATGCAGCTCTCATCCCATCCCCTCTACTTAAAAGCATGGATTTAGATTCCCATGGCCACCCACCCAGCAGTTCTTTACCACGCCTTGGCCACAGCTCCCCCGCCCTGATGTAGTTACCGGGAAGCGCAGGTTGGAGGAGGGGATGAGCAGTGCCCCCAGGGCAATCTTCAGGATGGGCTGGACTCTGGTGTCCAGGGGCCCAGAGACCTGTCTCAGGTGCAGCACCTCCTTCCCATCCACCCCCAGCAGCACTGAGTCCCCATCCATCTTTAATTCCACCTGCAGGAAGAGGATGAGAAGCAGAATCAGAAGCCCCTGGGGCCTGTCTTTGCCACTTTCCTCTGAGGTGATCCAGCGCTATAGCGGAAAAAACATACGCCTGAATACTCAGCTGGCATCCTCGGCCCACTCAGGGCTTATCATTTATGTAGGGACTGAGCCTCAGCATTCCCACTGGAAAAAAAATGGGGATAAGAAGAGCTCCTTCGTGGGATTTGTGTGGATTAAATGAGATGACAATGGTAAAGGGATGCCCAATAGCTTGGCTTTGTACCTCTTCCTCAGACCCGCCCTGGACACCCCTCACCTTAGGACCAGAGCTAGCTTACCTGGTGCCATCTCCCGTCATCCAGCCGAGGCCCTGCGCCCACTGTAAACTGGGCCCACCGATTGTGCATCTGGATCTCAGGCCTGCCGTCCCGAAGTCCCAGCATGAACCAGTCATCCTTAGGATTGGTATCCCCATAAAAAATCACTCCCTCTGGATCCCAGGTTCGAAACTCAAAGGAGGAGAAGGTTCTGGGAGGACACAGAAGGAAAGACTGTGTATGGGGTGTGCCCTTTGAGGGTCAACGTGGGGTTGCAGGAAGTGGGGAGGTGGCATTCAGGGAGAAAGACGGACAGGAAGACAGGGAAAAGAGAGGAGCTGATGGAGAGAGGGTAGGGTCAGAGAACTGGGTCAAGAAGCAGGGTCAACTCCTACTTGGTGATCTTGGTGAGGTCAAAGGTCATGACAGCCACAGGCTCTTGTCCCAGGCCATTGCCAAGGTGCACAGCAGGAGGGTCCTGGGCCCTCTGTTAGAAAGAGAAAATAAACAAGCTGGAGCAAGGACATGTCAGAAACAGAGGGAGAGGCCCTGCCACAGGGCCGGAGGAGGAGAGAACGAAAGCAGGCAGAGCCAAAGTGTAGCTCGTTTAAACACACACATGAACTAGTGCCCTGTCACACTCCTGCACCTGGGTAGGGAGAGTATGTCTCAGGGGCCGTCCCTGGTGGGTGTGAGGCAGTTGCAGCAGTTGCAGCAGCAGCAGCGTCAGTGGCAGCGGCGGCAGCAGCAGTGGCCGCAGATACCAGGTGGTCAGTGGGCCTCTGCTCTCCATAATCAGCCGCTGTCCACTGTGTGGCTCAGACAACTCTTTGGAGAATGTAGTGAGGGCAGGCAGCCTTGTGCATGGGTGGTGGAGGGTTAAAGGTTGCACCGGGGGAAAAAGGGGGGCAGGAGATGGGGCACTGACCCTGCGGGCCGGGCCCCAATGAGGACAAATGGGGTGAAGTACAGAGTCCCTCCACTACCATCCCCCACTGCTGAGAAAGTTTATGAGCTGGGAGAGGACAGCCCATTTCCCCTCACCTCTTCTAGAGCCTGACTTAGGTGCTCCAAGCCTTCTGCCCACCTGGGGAGGCTGTCTTGCCAGGCCTGAGGTCTAGAACCAGTCCTGTCCTGCTCCCCAAGGAGCATTCTGTCTTAGGGGTAGAGGTGAGACATGGAATCCTAAATATTTAGCTGGCTGACCTTCAGCAAGTCACTTTGTGCTTCAGTGTCCTTGTCTGTAACATGAGGAAAATAACACTTTACGGGTTGCTATGAATGAGGGTTAATTGAGACAACGCAGGCACAGTGCCTGGTATCTGCTGTGAACACCTCCTCCAGTGTCTTCCCAGGCCTCTGAGGTTTGTCTCACAAGAAGGTATTGTCTCTGTGCATAATTTAGTGGCTACTAAGTGGACCCGCCCCTCACTCCCAATTATCTTCCCCTATCCATTTATTACAGGACCTAACAGTCTAGCAGTAGAAATTCATCGCCCTCTCCCTGACCCATTGAAAAATGTAAATACCCTTGAAAGAACTAACACTTTCAGCCACTCAAGAGCTGTAGGAAACAGCTGTAACACCTGGGGGTCTTGGGGCTCACCCAGGGTCTGGGTAGGTGAGTGAGAGTGAGGCTAAGGCGGATAATGCATACTTCACTTCAATTCAAGAAGCACGGGGTCGGGGGAAGCTTTTCAGCCGATGGAAGATGAGACTTCCAAACAACAGCAAAGAAGCCTCCGCACTCCAACTTTGACCCCTGCCCAGGAGCCGGGTCACAGGACTGGGGCGTTAGGGGCGGGGCCCGGGCGGGGCTGCTCCTACTCTGCAAGCTGATTGGCTAGCGGGTGTGCGCCCGCAGCGGCGGAATTTAGGGGCTTACCCCGGCGGTGAGGACCGCCCACCCGGCCCCTCTCTCCGCCCCGCAAGCGCCGCTTGCCAGCCCCGGCGCCCCCGCCGCCCGGCTCGCCCAGGCTATTCGGGATCCAAGTTCGTAGGCCCTTTAAAGGGCCCCAGCTGCCGTTTGCAGAGTCCCGGGACTTTGATCCCAGACGGTGGGGAGAGGGATGGCTTCTTTGCGAATCCGAGAGGCCAAGGAGGGAGACTGTGCAGATATCCTACGGCTGGTTCGGGTGAGGGCTGCGGGTGGGACACTGGGGGGTCAGAGCGGCGCGGGCTGAGCTGGGGAGTAGGAGATGCGGGCAGGGGGAGGGGCGCGCCTTGGGACTCTGCTCGGGGAGCAGCGGGGTCCTCCTGCCCTAATCTAGCCTCTGTCCCCACGCCGTAGGAACTAGCTGAGTACGAGAAACTTTCGGATCAGGTGACGATCAGTGAAGAAGGTGGGAGCTCTGCACTCGGGGCCTGACTGAGGCTGGGGAGGAAGTGAGGGGTGGATTCCCCAGGCGGCAGCTCAAGGATGGGCTTACATCCAGGTCCTCTTTTTCTTTGTCACAACTCCAATCTTTGCAGCCCTGAGAGCAGATGGCTTTGGAGAGAATCCTTTCTATCACTGTTTGGTAGCAGAGATTCTTCCAGCCCCCGGGGAGCTACAGGGTAAGAGCACCTGGACCTCAGAAGTCCACCTGTCCAGTCGGTCTCAGAGGTCTCCCTGCAGGCTCCCACAGGCCATACCCCTCTTTTCTCTCTCTCAGGTCCCCGTGTGGTGGGCTATGGGCTATACTACTTCATCTACAGTACATGGAAGGGACGCAGCATTTATCTGGAAGACATCTATGTGACACCAGAATATCGGGGTACTGGGCAGAGGCTGAGGCTGGGGTCGGAGCAAAGCAACCCACAGACCCTACCACCATCCTCTGCCCCCCAATCCCAGCCTGTGGCCTTTTCTGATCTCCAACTCAATCACTCTTTTTGTCTCTTTCTCCCTACAACAGGTCAGGGAATTGGTTCGAAAATAATCAAAAGGGTGGCTGAGGTGAGGAGAGGGGTGGGGGCTAGAAGCTAGGCCCTAAAGAAGCAAGGGTTTATGGGGGAACCCAGGTTGGTGAGGTGAGAAAGCCTTTTTTTTTTTTTGACCTCAGAAAAGTAAATGATGTCTTCTCCCACAGGTAGCCCTGGATAAGGGCTGCTCCCAGTTCCGCCTGGCAGTCCTGGATTGGAACAAGAGGGCCATGGACTTGTACAAGGCCCTAGGAGCCCAAGATCTGACTGAAGCTGAGGGCTGGCACTCCTTCCGCTTTGAAGGAGAGGCGATGAGGGAGATGGCAGGAAGATGATACCATGCCATGGGGCTCTCTCCCTACTTGAGTTTCTCCTTCCCCACCAGCTCAAGCAATCCCCAGTGACTAACTCCACAGACAATGGCACCCAGGCCTCCCTGGAGGAAGGAGCGTTGGGGATACCTATCCTGAAGTGTGGAAAGAGCAGAATTGTGAGAGCAGCCCTTCCTCTTTGTTGAAGGTGAAAAAATAAATAAGTATTACTATGTCCTGATGTGGTGTTGGGTAGAGGAGTTGATGAGGTGCGATAAGCTTCAGCCACTTCAATACCCTTCCTGAGTGTTCTGGTCAGTGAATGTTTTCCTTGGGGGTAAGCGGGGGCCCGAGTTGACTTTAAGCCTCAATGGGCCAGGTCTTGGCTGTGGCCTGTGGCAGATGGAGTAAAAAAGAGCAAGGAGCAAGCTTGGTACATCAAGCTTGTTGGTCACATTTGGGACCCCGACAAAGGCCTCAAATGTCTGGACTGAGGTGTGCCACATCCAAGACTTAGGCAGGCCCACAACTGAGCAGAGAGAACAGGCTGCCACCTGGTGTTGACATTTCAAGGGGCACTGGGAAGGACCATTTGCCCCAACTTTAAGATATCAGGATGGGTGTGGTGGCTCTAATTCCAGCACTTTAGGAGGCCCAAGGGGGGAGACTCACTTGGGGCCAGGAGTTGGAGGTTCCAATGAGCTATGGAGTGTGCCACTGCACTCTAACCTGGGCGACAGAGTGAGACCCTGTCTCTAAAAAACAAACAAACGGAAAAAGAAAAAACAAAACAAATCAGCTCAGCCAGCTAGTGCTTTTTATTTTTCAAAAGTCACAAAATCTTTATTTTCAGTCTAGCATGCCTTAAAAATAGTGAAGTTCCGGCTGGGCGCGGAACTAGCACTCTAGGAGGCCGAGGCGGGTGGATTGTTTGAGCTCAGGAGTTCGAAACCAGCCTGAGCAAGAGCGAGACACCGTCTCTACTAAAAATAGAAATTAATCGGACAACTAAAAATACATATAAAAAAATTAGCCGGGCATGGTGGCGCATGCCTGTAGTCCCAGCTACTCGGGAGGCTGAGGCAGAAGGATCGCTTGAGCCCAGGAGTTTGAGGTTGCTGTGAGCTAGGCTGATGCCACGGCACTCACTCTAGCCCGGGCAAAAGAGTGAGACTCTGTCTCAAAAAAAAAAAAAATAGTGAAGTTCAGCAAAACCAAAGAAAATCTTTAGGACCATGGGCACAAGGAGAGAAACAGGCTCATTTCCCACTTTTATAATATTTTATTACACATGTACTGCACATTTGTTGTAGGAGAATTGGAATGCACACATAAAATAAAAATAGAAGAGCCAGGCATAGTGGCACCTGTCTGTAATCCCAGCTACTCAGGGATTACTTGAGGTGGGAGGATCAGTTGAGCCCAGAAGTTCAAGACAAGCCTGAGCAACATAGCAAAACCCTATCTCAAAATTAGAAAAAAAATAGACCTTACTTACATAGTCACTATTAACCCTCTGGTATTGATTCTTCAGATTTAAAAATATATATATATGTATGGGTGGTGGCTCACATCTGTAATCCTAGCACTCTGGGAGGCTGAGGTGGGAGGATCACTTGAGCTCAGGAGTTCCAGACCAGCCTGAGCAAGAGCAAGACCCCATCTCTACTAAAAATGGAAAAACTAGCTGGGCGCTGTGGCTCGTACCTGTAGTCCCAGCTACTTGGGAGGCGGAGGCAGGAGGATCACTTGAACCCAGGAGTTTGAGGTTGCTGTGAGCTAGGCTGACGCCACCGCACTCTACTCAGAGCAACAAAGTGAGACTCTGTCTCAAAAAAAAAATATATATATATATGTGTGTGTGTACATATGTGTGCGTATATATGTATTTTAAGCCCGAGGTCTGTCAGGAGATATATATAATTAGTTAAGTGAGTAGGGATTTATGGAATCACACTCTTTTGTAACCTGTTTTTTCATTTAACCATATCAGAAACATCTTCCTTTATTGTTAAACATACGTCTATCGTCAGGTTTTTTTTGAATTATCTCTCCCCAGTATTGGGCAATATCATCACTTTTGATGGCAGCATATTGTTCCTTTTGTGGATGAACCATTGGTTAAATGGTCATATCAGCAGGAAGAAAATTCAGACACTGAAAGGGGATGGGCAGGTAACGTAAATGTGTAAGTTGCAGGAAACAGGATCTATGGAAGTTTAGAAAAATGAAGACCAGGCTGGTCCGAGTGCAATGGTGTTTTTTTGTTTGTTTGTTTCTTTTGAGACGGAGTTTCATGCTGTCACGGGGCTAGAGTGCCGTGGCATCAGCCTAGCTCGCAGCAATCTCAAACTCCCCGGGCTCAAGCAATTCTCCTACCTCAGCCAAGTGCAGTGGTGTTTACAACTAATTGATCACAACCAGTTACAGAGTCCTTTGTTCCTTCTCCACTCCCACTGCTTCACTTGACCAGCCTTAAAAAAAAAATTGAAAATTGAACACCCATCCTAAAATTCAAATAAAAAAGTACTATTCAGCCAAACAGAATACTCTAGAGGCCCAAATTCTTCTGGATGCCAGTTTCTGGCCCTTGACAGCAATTTCCTGCAGCTAAGGAACAATCTTCAGGACAATCTTGATTAAGCAGTAATGAAGCTGGTCAGCCCCTTTTCCAGAAAGAAGCCAGGAGAATCCAGTTTCATGTTCTTGGCTCATGTCAATGTGGGAGGGATTACTGTCTTTTAAACATTAACAATCTATCTAGTGATGAGGCTTTTTAAACTTAAAATTTAATGCAGAGTATACTATTATTATTTTTTTTTTTTTTGAGACAGAGTCTCGCTCTGTTGCTAGAATGCCGTGGCCTCAGGCTAGCTCACAGCAACCTCAAACTCCTGGGCTCAAGCGATCCTTCTGCCTCAGCCTCCTGAATAGCTAGGACTACAGGCATGCACCACCATGCCTGGCTAATTTTTTGTATATATATTTTTAGTTGTCCAGCTAATTTCTGTCTATTTTTTTTTAGTAGAGACGGGGTCTTACTCTTGTTCAAGCTGGTCTCAAACTCCTGACCTCGAGAGATCCTCCCACCTCGGCCTCCCAGAGTGCTAGGATTATAGGCATGAGCCACCGCGCCCAGCCACTATTATTATTTTATTGAGACAGGGTCTCACTCTGTTACCCAGGATAGAATGCAGTGCATAGCTCACAGCAACGTCAAACTTGTGGGCTCAAGCGATCTTCCTGCCTCATCCTCCTGAGTAGCTGGGACTACAGGCACGCGCCACCACACCTGGCTATTTTTTTTAAAGTTTCTGTAGAGACGGAGTCTCACTATGCTGCTCAGGCTGGTACATAGCTAGTCTCGAACTCCTGGGCTTAAGTGATCCTTCTACCTTGGCCTTCCAAAGTACCACGATTACAGGTACGAGCCAGTGCTCTCAGCCAGAGTTTACTCTCTTTATGTTTTTCCCCTCACCTTGACCCTAGATCTTACTAACATCCACAGGATATCTTTGCACTCCAGAGTCACTCCATTTTCATGGCCACCCATGAATCTATCCACATCCTTGGGCTCTGGGCCACTCTTCTTCTTCTTTTTTTTTTTTTAAGAGGCAAGTTCTCACTCTGTCTCCCAGGCTGGAGAGTGCAGTGGCGCGATTATAGCTCACTTTTGCCTCCTGGGCTTTAGCAATCCACCCGCTTTGGCCTTCCAAAGCACTGGGATTATAGGTCTGAGCCACTGCACCGGCCTTCATTAGCCTTCTACAAGGTGATCCTATCAGGTGTTGGGGCTGGTTGGAATGGGGCGATAAGGGCCTGGGTTCCAGCCATTCCAGAGAGAACAAAGGTTTAGGGTGAGGGCTTTTTAAGGGGAGAATAATAAAAGCTTAATTCAAATATCTTAAGTCAGCCGGCCGGGCGCGGTGGCTCACGCCTGTAATCCTAGCTCTCTGGGAGGCCAAGGCGGGTGGATTGTTTGAGCTCAGGAGTTCGAAACCAGCCTGAGCAAGAGCGAGACCTGGTCTCTACTAAAAATAGAAATTAATTGGACAACTAAAAATATATAGAGAAATTAGCCGGGCATGGTGGCGCATGCCTGTAGTCCCAGCTACTCGGTAGGCTGAGGCAGAAGGATTGCTTGAGCCCAGGAGTTTGAGGTTGCTGTGAGCTAGACTGACGCCACGGCACTCACTCTAGCCCGGGCAAAAGAGTGAGACTCTGTCGCAAAAAAAAAAAAAAAAAAATCTTAAGTCTGTGCACATCTCTATTCCCACTTCCAATGTTACCTCTCTGAAAATTGACATAGACTCCTAACTGGTCTCTTAGCCTCCTTTTGTATCCTATCCTCCAAGTTCCATGGGTTTACTATTTTTTTTTCATAGATACACTATATTATTTAAAGAGTCAAATATAACAGTTCTGTAAGGCTTCTATAAAAAAATTAGTCTCCCAACTGCCCTCACTCTTCATAGGCAGTCACTCAATTGAGTTTTTAAATTATTTTGTTTTGTATTCACCTTGTATTTCAAAATCAGACTATGCAAATATTGCTACTTCTTAATGTTGCTTGTTTAGGCATTAGCTATTGACATCCTGCTGTTGAAGATGAGAAAGTAGCTTTCTGGCGTTATAGCTCTTTTAGAATTTGTCTAGCAGGTTTTCTGGTCCTCACTGGAAGACCCAAATTAAAAAAATCAAAAAAAAAAAAAAAGCTAGCTTTCTTTTGCAACTGCCCCCCATCACCCCACCGCGACTTCCCATCTCCCATCTTTCTAATACTATTGTAATACTAACACTATTATATCATGAGTCTTGTTGGATCTCTGTTCAGTGTTTACATTATTGCAATTATGCAAGTATTCTACACAGTTGAGTCATGTGGATAGTTATAGTTGTTTCTTTCCTGCACCTTTTTGTTTTTCCTGGAATTAATACTTGCCTTGTCTTCTTCGTTTGCTTAGGTTTCTATGTACTCTTTTGGTTAATCTATTTTAAGGATATACAAACACTTAAAGAATTGGTTTTATCTCATTTTGAAGAACTTTCTCACGGGGTCTTTAGAATTGTTCCAGTCTAAGGCTGGACTATTGGGATCTCCCTTACACCTTCATTTTGGGGACTCCCTTTGCCTCTTTCTTGTGTTGATAGCCTGTTTCCTGGAACCTATGTCTCCTCTTTTTCAGTTTACTCCGTTACATTGATGGAGCTTCTTGAGAAAAAGGGTGCCTTGTTGGG